AACAAAACAAAAACAGAGCAGTAAACTTGTATTGATCTGCAAGAAGCAAACCATGATTGAATTTTAAACTGAAAACTGGACTTTTCAGAGTATTTGGAACTGACAAGTCATTTCATGCCATAAATAAAAAAGTTCATTTCAGTGTGTCTTAATAAAGTTTGCCTACTAAATTGAAAAAAAAAATACTGTAAGTTCCTGTTCTGAGTTGTTTCTTAAACTAGTTTAAAATTATAGTAATAGATTTTTTTATTTTTTTAGATTGTGTTGGCTATACAACTGTTTGTCCATCTTTGTAAGAATGTAAAATTACTAATAAAGGGACCTAGCAAAAAAGGTCCCACAAACACTAATTTTTTTTAAAAAACTATTAATTTTATAGTAATAAATAATACCTACATGAAGCCTATTGACAGAACATCCTGGACCACAGAATTAAACTTTTCATTTTCATTACCTAACCTATGCCATCCAAGTAAGTTTGAGTGTCATTATTTTAAAGATAACTCTTTGCTCTTTAATGACATTTTTGAAGGTATTTCATCAACTGATTGCTAGTTATTTAAAAAAATTTAAAGTTGTCTATTCACACCTAACTTTATTTATCTTCACTTTCTAATACTTTGGGTAATTTTGATCAAAATATCTATGATAGAAAACAATCATAAAATATCTTACTCTAAAAAGTTAAGAATAACTTAACTCTATTAATTTAAGCAAGACCATTGCATATTCTCTATTTCATTTATGATTAAATGTAAGAAAATGATATTTTATGCAATGTACATAATAATTAAATAATGTAATCTTGAGACTGGCAGCAATGTTAATTCTAAATTATAACTTATTGTAAAGTATAAGCAAAAATCAAGTTTACTGACTCTTGAGATGTGTTCTTCAATCATCTGAAGTCATTACTGTAACCAGTTATTTCTTAGCAGCATTTAAATAAAAACTCATTTATCAATATACTTGATTTTACATTGACATTCATTATTTCATCATTATTCAATGTACTGTAACCTATAATGATACCGGAGGAAACAAAAATGTAAATGCTGTTGACCAAACTGATAAGAAACTTTGGTGACAAAATAGC